TGGAAACTGAGACCCTTCTCTTACCATGGGATGAGTTTTTATATTCTCCACCCATAGATATTTGTGTCTTTTCTTGAACCATCTTTCACATCTTGGGCCTCTCAGTCAGACATTAATTTATCTGTTTCTAATATTGAAGCATCATCTGGGTAGGGGTCCAATATTGATATTGATGTGAATATTAAGTATTCAAGTTAGTAAAATCTGACCTCAGAAAATTCTGCTTTTACTCATATATACCTTTTCTACAATTCCTTTCCTTAACTAAGAAAACCACCACCTGATATTTTCATTCCTATCTTTATATGTTTTAGAATAAACCTCACATGTAAATATGCATCAGTTTCTTTTTATTCAAATAAAGAAATTAAAAAAGTAAAACGATCCCTATAACAGGCCGTGAAGGCCCATAGGGTTGTGAGACTTTGAGGGTCCCACATTATCTAGACAGTTGGCTCAAAGATGGCGGTAAGGTTGTCAGTCTTACGCACTGACCATTCTTTACTCCCCAGGAAAAGTGTTTAATTAATTCCTGGTACTCATTTCTATTAGAGGCTGAGTCGATCCCAGGGCCACAATGCGGCTGGAAAGATTAGGTCAACTGTAAAAAATCCAGTGACCTCAATGGGACTGGAACCCATGACCTTCCAGCCTGTAGCATAGTGCCTCAACCAACTAACCGCGTGCCCCCTCTTTTTATTCAAATATTTAATTTAATTGCATATTCTAAGATTTTCATTGTGCCCTTCTACAACATAAAAACTAACACTTCAAAAAAGCTGCAAGTTGGCACTGAGTTTACAATATTTGATAACATACAGATGCATTCTTTCCTTGGTAATATCACCTTGCTTCTGAGTCAAGGTTTCTGTACCATCCCACAAAACATGATATTTGGACTGTTATATAATAGGTGATGGCATTAAATGTACCAATGAGTCAGTCTGTTTATTATATCACATTAAAAATACTACATCAAAATATATTTTATATTTCAGAAAATTCAGTCAACATAAAAGCAACCACAGTACATACACCCCCTACACACTAAATACCTATATTCACAGTAAGTATACCACATACATGTACACCTAATCTGTACCAACAACAATAACACATGAACAATATGAAACAACATCTCATCCACTTTTCATTGCAGGAAATCAGAAACATACTGATCCACAACAGCATACATCCAGTACTGCAAACCCACATTACTATATATTAACAACCACACCCGCATGTAAGTAAAAAACCCACAGAGAGCCAAAAAACTATAACATATCTTCCTCCTATGTATTGTAGATGCACGCTGGCAGGACACAGATCTTCTAAACATATCAACGATAACAATACCTACAGCTATGCTGCACACACACAGACATATATAAACATAATACCGAAAATCCACATAAAGATACAAACATGCCACTCAAAATACCATCCAGTATATTCGTGACCTGGATATATACATTTTATGTATTTTTACAACTTTTATATTTTATAACACCCATTAGGAAACTTTACAAAAATGGATCCATTTTAAACTACATATTCAGCTAAAGCATAATATATTTGTGATTTTACATGCATACACCTAAAGATGGTCAGCCAAGGCCAAAATATGCAGTGTTTTTAATTCGGTATAATAAAGAGACTGACTGACTGACTGACTGACTGGTACATTCAATGCACTACACTATTTTACAGCATAACAGTCAAAATATAATGTGTTGTGTAATGGTACAGAAACCTTGACCATATATTCACAACAGAATGCAAAATAAACCTTGCTTCTTTTTTTCAGGATCTGGGAATAAAGATTTCACTGATTCAGACATGTTTTTATAACTATATATATTTTGAAAACTTACTTTATTGTAATGTCAAATTAGGACATAAATTGATTTTTAGGCTTTTGAATGACAGTCTTTGAAATACAAAGGACAGCAATGAATAACACAGAAAGATGATCATAAGTGGTAAATAGGACATGGAAAAAAGTGGGTTGCGGACTGTTTGAAGATACTGTCTTGACATTCAGCTTGAAAACCTGAGGAAATTCATGAAAGCCTCAGTCAGTAGAGCTAGTGATTCAGCCAAGATTTGAGCTAGATACCTCCATACCTCCTGTATATAAATCTGAAGTCTTATGGGGCCCATACACATACGAGTCTGGCTTGCGAGTCCGACTTGGGTCGGGTTCCAATGAGCTAAACTCATCCATGTGTTGGTCGTCACAGTCATACGTATGAGGTGAAATTAATCCAAGCCCGGCTCCTCACTGAGCTGGACTCGCGAGCCAGATTTGTACGTGTATGGGCCGCCTTATTGCTCAGTAAGGAGATGGAGAGAATGTTGATATGAAGTTTGCTATAAATTACCTTCTTACATAAATATTGAAAAATGTTACTTCTAATTCATGTAATGCATTAACAAGTTCTGGGGTAAGATTAGGATATGCTACTTCAATAGCAAATTAAATGACAGAATTTTTTTCCACTTACTGAACGTTTCTGCAAGCTCAATTTGCTGATAACCACATCAAATAATGGACTAGTCAGTTTGAAACATACATACAGGATTAGCCAGTCTGATCCTGAATAAATTTTCAGGGCTCATTTAATTTGGCTCAGTATAGGTCTGTATGAGGAGGGTCAACAATTTCAAAATCTTAGCCCTAACAAAATAAAAATAAATATATATTCATAGCAGGACAGTGTGTAAATATGGAAATTTTTCTGTCTTACAGCACTTTGACTTCAACATAGTACATTGTATGTTCAACTCTAAAGTGTATCTGATAATTTGGAAAACAACTATAGATTCATTATTAATAAACTGATAGCAAACAGCTATATTCAAGCTATATGCAACCAGCCTGTCACCAAACAGTAGAGAACTAACGCAATGTTAGGTAGTGGTGCTATCTCCACAAGAGGTGTAGTGGTTATGTTCATAGTACCATGACTTCTCAGCACAGCCTTGTGAAGAAAGGGCAAAAGGTAAGAGAGATTTTATATTGCTCATCCTACACCCTCTACTTAAAAAATGTGAGGAAATCGCTTTGTTTTTACAGACATTCTCATGTTCATCATGACTACTCACTGAGAAAGTTAAGAGGGGTATAGCATTTACTTTTGTTGTTGGTTATTTAACCATGCTGTCAGTATCGAGATATATAGTATCTAAGATGTACTTAGTGAAAGGTAAAGTTGTCCCTGTACTTAACTAATTAAGCACTACACCATGAAGGCGTATGGGGGAGTTTATGTATAGATCCACATTTTCTTGATCTTGGCACTAGTTCGAGTTGATGGTCAGCTTCACGCCCCGGCTACTTTATCACTGGGGAAAGAGCCCCCGGTATCCATTGGATAGGTAGGGTGGATTCGAGAGCTGGTCTGGACAACATGCAGATGAGAAAATTCTTGACCCTACTGGGACTTGAACTCTGACCCCTCAGTTGTCCAGCCCATAGCCAGTTGCTATAGTGACCATGCTATCCTGGCTACTAAGATGTGCCTAATTCATAGTTTAAATTGTATAATAAAGTAAAATATTATTTGTGATGATTGAATCAATGTAAAAATGAGGAATTTGCCTATAGATGAAATTTATGGTACACACTGGCAGGTGATTGGCTGTGTATTGGATGTGGTAATGAGGGTCTATTTGGTGTAAAGATAAATTAGTGCAAGTTTTCATATATAGTGTCCACAACACTGTCAGCATAAGATAATTTTAACTTGTTAACAGAGTGTTCCCACAGATGTAACACATATGCCAGTCACTAAATATGGCTCAAAATGCTAACAGTATAAGCAAGAGCATCGCCAATATATTTCCTGGGGGCAGAAAAATTTGCTTACAAAGTTATGTTTAAGCTGTTTACGAATATACAGAGTTTGAGAACAGGGTGCCGAGGGGAACATTTGGACTGAAGAGAGATGAAGTGACAGGAGGTTGGAGGAAACTGCATAAAGAGAAACGTCGTAACTTGTACTCTTCTCCAAGTATAATTAGAATGACCAAGTTCTGGAGGATGAGATGGGCAGAGCATGTATCATGAAGGGGGGAGAAGAAGAATGCATATAGGATATTGGTGGGAAGGCCAGAAGGAAAGTAACCACTAGGAAAACCAAGATGTAAGTGGGTGGGTAATATTAAAGTGGATCTTAGAGAGATAGGATGGGGTGGTGTGGACTGGATTGATCTGGCTGAGGATAGGGACCACTGGAGGGCTCTTGTGACCACGGCAATGAACATTTGGGTTCCATAAAATGTTGAGAAGTTCTTGAGTAGCTGCAAAACTGGCGGCTTCTCAAGAAGGACTCAGTTCCATGAAGTTAGTTAGTTGTCTGTCCTGAATACTGTAGAGCTTAAATAACCTAAACGTAAGTTAGCGAATTCTCTGGCTCCCTCCAACCATCATTGGAAGAAAACTTGGCGGCTCCCACGGACTTATTCGATGAAGAGTATAAATTTTAAAGTTCTTGTGCAAAATACTTAAAATCCATTATATTATTAGGCTTTAATTGTACTTAAAAATTCACAGAGTCTAAAATATTTTTATTCTGCACGATGGTACACACTTACCTTTCATTTTTGATTTCGCGCCACGTTCGAAAGATACTCTCTGATATTCAGTATTCTCTCTCTATCCTTATTACAAAATTCCCATGCAAAGAAGTCGGACGTATTCTAAATCTCTTAAGTCAATCCGAGAAACACAGTACTGTATCTCACACTTCAAAATTAATATTTGGAAGCTTTCCCTGGATCTACTAATAAAAATATTACGTAATGGGAAAAGTTGGCATGATGTCCTTCTGCGCTGCTGTTATTTGTCGTAGTAACGTATTAGTGCTAGATTTCGCATGCCAGACCAGATCATAGAAAACGCACGTCCAGGGACACCGTACTGATGTTTATCGTTAGTACCCCAGCCACAGGAATTATTGAAAGAGGCCCTGTTTACTAATCGATCATTTTCAACTGTGACTTCCGGTGTCAGTTGAAGTAATGTGTTCGTCGAGTGCGATGTCGAGCCAAAAGTTGGTTTTTAGTTTGTGACAACGAAATTCTATGACAATGAAGGAAAACAGAATATAAAGATGCACACCAGGCTGATATTACTGGGTGTTTCATACTCGTTGAGTTTTACAGGTACTAACTGGTAGACTTTACATGCTCATGATGAGATGTAGGCCAAATTTGGGCCTTGTTTGTTTTGCACAGTGTAGCCCGTCTGTAGACTAAAATACCAAAAGTAAAATATTTCAGCAAGACCCAGATTTTCACCTCTCTTTATTGTAGATGCTGGTGGTGTGTCTGTGGAGTGTACAGATCTCCATGGCCGAAAAATTGCACAGGGTATGCATTATGTTCCTGGTCCAGATACGTGCACGTTATGTGTATGCGAGAGTGGTAGTCCAAAGTGGTGCAAAGCTGTGTTGTGTTCTCCACCACAAGTGAGTATATGATTTGAGGTTACTAGTGCTGAATTGGTACTGTATCTGTCCTGGTTATAATTTTTTTATGTAGAGATTTTCTTTACACCTGGCATGAATATCTTACTGCTAGAGTCTGCCCAATTTTTATATTTTCCTACCGCCAGTAATACTAGCATGACTGTCATAAATTTATTAGATGGCAATACACTGTTACCACTTAATGCACATATTAATGTGGAGTAGACCTTTGAAAAATATACAGTTTTTATTTCAATATCTTTTGAATACATACATCTGATAAACATAGTCCAAATCTATACTAATGAAAATGTATAGAACCTGTGAGATGTGAGATGTTTATGGCAGTTACTATGAAGATAACTTCTATGATATGGCACTTTTAATACGGCAAGTATTTAGCAGTGTTTTGGAGGAACAGCTACTGTCTTGAAAATTGATGCAGCAGAAGGCAGTAATCTGCATGCATAGAACTCAGTTACTAAACTGTATTATTGCTAATTTATAGTTCTCATTAGCCTTGCCTGATTTTTCATTTTGAACAAAGTAGACATTAGGCATTCTTTGCAGAAGTTCTAGTTGGGCGGATATTGTTGTGTGGTAATGTTACATCTGGTATTGAAAGAATTATAAATCATGTTTTATTCCATATGTGTTACCTTGATTTGTTTATTATAAAGTGCTGAGATAAATCTGGCTATTAAAACTCCATTCATTTAACACTGTTATTATAGTTTCCACTTTTTTTTATTGCTAGGGGGCGGGACTAAGTCCATTGTACTGTGGCCACTTCTGGCCTATTGTATCACCCCAGGTGATATGTGAGGGTGATTGTGGAGCGATTGGTGGAATGAAGATTGGCAGGGGAAACCGAAGTACTCGGAGAAAACCTGCTCCAGCACCACTTTGTCCACCATAAATCCTACTTGACAAGACCCAGGATCGAACTTGGGCTGCCGCGGTGGGAAGCCAGTGACTAACCTCTTGAGCTGTGGCGTGGCCTACTTTCCACTTACTTGCAGACAGAATTTAAACAAATATGGTATATGATACATACCCTGCAGCCCCATTTCAGTGACAAAAAACAGGAAATCCTCATTTTCCCATGTAATAAGGTAAGATTGTCCCTGTGCACTATGCCACGAAGGCATATGGGAGAGTGAATATATAGAGCCACATTTTCTTGACCTCGGCACTAGCTGTGTAAATGATGAAAACACTGTAATATGAATACCTGCAAATAAAGGAAATTGTAGTTGTAACTGAATTTTGATCTCACTTCCTGGACTTATTTCAATGCTGGACAGGAATTTACTGTCCTATCATCAACTGGGCTGTTAGCATGCGTACCACAAGGAGTGTGCCAAAATATTTCTGGGCAAGCAACATTTTGTTTCAAAGAAATACTTTTATAGACAAAAGTAATTACAAGTCCCATGTGAAGGCGGGTTAGAATAACCTCCACCGTAGGCCTATGATTTTGATGAAATGCAAACCCTGTGTCTGGGGTATTATGACTGGGTCACCCTGTCAGTGGGGGATATAAATACAGAGACCTGGGCCTCCATGTTGGGGGTTGGACACAAGGCTGATGACCTTGCTCTGTAAAAAAATTATTGCAAAATCCAAAGAAGTGAAAAACAGATAGTACAAATCTGGCAGAATCTTCTAAGGATGGCTATGGCTCAAAAAGGGTCCTTTTGCCAACGATGATAATAATTTCAAAATAATTTTTAATTTAAATGTGGATAAGAGTGGGTGGGAATAAAAATTAATTCCTTGTGCTCATTTTGGTTAGAGGCCGAGTGAACCCCAGGGCCATAGTGTGGCTGGAAGGATTAGGTCAATTGAAAAAAATTCAGTGACCTCATCGGGACTTGAACCTGCGACCTTCCAGCTTGTAGCATAACCCCTCAACCCACTATGCTACCGCAGACCCATGTTATTACTTTTTTAGAGTTAACTGTCTTCTTCCATAGCCAGATCATAAAGCTGACCATAAGGTTTGATGTTCTTACAGTGGTGAATGTTAAGATTGCAGTCTTCTGGGAGGTGTACCAGACTACACGGCATCACATACAGAAGACTGTAATGATTAAGTTCTTCATTTACCTCCATCTCATGCTGAGATTAAGAGAAAAATTGAGCTTTACTTTTGCATTACCCATATACTTTCATGGCCTGTCAGTCATAAGGCGTATACCATTTACTTAAGTCTAAAGACTGTAGAATTGCCTGTTTGAAATTCTGATCCATGGTTGCCAGTAAATAGATACAATTTACTTCTCATCATTATGTATATATGTATTATCCAGTTCATGGCTTTATGAGTGTGCCTTTGTTTGAGTGCATTTCCGATGCTGTGGAACACCTATTGAGTTCACTCTGTTCTTCCATTACCCACTTGTACATATGAAACAACTTTAGAACCACTGAATGGATTTTCATCAAACATGATATTATGGTTTTACTAAAATTCTCAGCACATTCAAGCTGTGGTTAAAATTGTGACAAAAGTAATGGACACTTTACATAAAGACCTAAATGCATTTTTGTGTGACCACTGAACTTGGCTCACAAGATATTTATTTGAGGGGAAAAATGTTTTGATTAAAAGTTGTATAGAAAAATAAAATCATGCTTGTGGATTGTTTGTGTTTTTAAATTATTTATGCATATTTTCCCCAAACTGCCTCTGTGGTCTAGTGATCAGAGTTTTTGCTACAGATCCAGAGGTCCGGGTTCGATTCCCGGTGCTACCAGATTTTCTGAGGAGTAGTGGGTCTGGAACAGGGTCCACTCAGCCTCGTGAGGATAATTGAGGAGCTATTTCAAGGAAATCGCAGATCCGGTCTAGGAAACCGAGATCAAAGGCCGTGGGGATCCGTTGTGCTGACCACACGACACCCTTTATCTGCAGAAGTTGGCACTCATTTTGACGACAAGCAGCATTCGCTCGGTCGATATAGTTTGCTTGCGGACTATAGGCCACGGAGTTTTTTTATCTTCCCTAACATTAATATCAGGATATGGTGAGGAAATCAGATACATAAATCATACCTTATGTTTAATGTTTCTGAAATCATGTCTTGTCCTTTTCATATAGGACTGCAAGTCATTCCGTGTGGGAAACTCTTGTTGCGAATTTATTTGCCTAGATGATACCTTGACCAAAACTTCATCTGATGGACATGGACCTGAAGGAGGGACTGACATAAGTCTGAGATTTATAGCCACTGCTGTGACCATAATTTTATCACTTTTTCTCTTTATTTTTCTGATTCATCGTCTCAGACAACGGAAGATCAGAGGTAATTTTAGTGTTGGATATGTATAGCATGACATTTGGAATAAAGTGCTGTTTTTAGCAGAAATGACATTGCATCACATAGCAACACACTTCTTGAGTATTGTACTGATCAGAACCATTTCTTGAAACTTGGGGTTCTCATCTTGTTCTCAGCCTGAGGTGGAAGATCTGCTTTTATGCAGAAGATGGTGCTGTTTTACAAAAGCATCATCACTCATTTGGACTACAGACTAATCTAATAATTTTGTGTAATGACTGCATTTTGGCATCAGTTAACATTCATGGCAACTTACAGGATGTGTAGAAATATTAGTTTCTCTTATATTGATTTTAATATTGTACCCACATCTACATCTCAGTCTTCCATCTCGAGGAACGAAATTTGTTGCGATTGTAAGCCAAAGGTGGGACGCTGTATTTGGAATGAACCTGAGGGGAGTGGTTGTAGGAGATGTGAAGTGTATTAAAGTGTCTCTGTATAGTGTTCAGTGTGAACTTTTGCTGTGTCTGATGTGAACAACAGCAATAAAAAATATTGGGAACAATTGAAGGTATTGAATTTTCAGGGAATGCTGTATGAGAGAGATTGTTTTCTGTATGTGATATATGATTATTGGAAAATTGTATGCCTTTTCAAATGATTGTGACATAACGTTGTAGGTCGTCAAAATCGGCAGCTGAGTGAAGATGAGCGCAGTTTGGGAAGCATTGGTTACATAGCCGGAAGCCTGGCATATTTGCCTGGAAGCATGGGTTATTTGGGTGCTGGGAGCCAGGACCGTCACATAGAGTTCCATTACGAAGAGCCTCCAGCACACTATCCTCTGTGGAAGCCTCCAGGAAATTACTTTCCCCGTGGTGAAGCACCCCCACCTTACGAAGAAGCTGTGGCGGCAGCAAGAGCAGAAGCAGCATTAGCAGCTGCAGTAGCATCTTCAAATAATGCCCTCCACCCAGGTGGAGGGAGTAGTAGTACCTTAATGAATTCTGGTACAGGGCATAGGACCATACCCATCAACCTGGCTACTAGTGGCAGTTTCAGGATTGAACCCACAGTTTCCACTGTGGGAAGGGAACAGCATTTATTGGAGACATTAGAACCTTCCAGATCCCGATCGGCTGATGTTGTAGCATCTCTGCCACCAGCTGAATCCAGATGTTCCTTGCGGATAATGGAGTTACCTTCTCCTCTCCCGCTGACGACTGAGGAAGAAGGGGCTGTTGCTGCAATACGCTCAGACGCATTCTATGAAGACGTTCTTATTGGTCCTCCTTCCTCTTTATCTCCTGTTGAATGTTTCAATCCCAGCATAATTGCCGTCCCTGGCGAGAGTATGTCTTGCATCACAACTGTGAATATTCCAGCACTGGAAGTTCCCACAAATATTACTGTCCCATCCTTGCATTCTGCATCCGTCTTAGAAGGTGCTGTGTCCGAGGACAATGAAACCACAAGACTTAATAATCACAGGTTGAACAATCTGAATAGGAGTTCAGTTGACAGTGCTGCATGTAGTTGCTCCTATCAGTGTCTACCCCCACCTCTTCCACCTGATGACAATGATGATTATCGCAGTGAGTGTGAGAACTGTAAAAGTACCCATGGATCAAGGTATTACTTGGATGAAGAACCTAACATTACCTCACCGCAAGAAACTATGACACTCCATCGGCGGCCTCAGGACTATGACACCGAAGACCAGGGATATTATCGCACATCCCTCACACTGCCTATCCATACACGACGTTTAAGGTTAGTGTCAGAAATGGTTTCTGTTCTGTTTCCCCCCCCCATGTGTATACACAGTGTGTCCAGGTTCTGTTAGGAATGTGTTCATTGAAAATACAAGACGTGAATTATTTTCAAAATTTCACTCTTTTTTTTTCAAAATAGTCTCCTGAATCACTACATAACTGGAACTGATTGAAAAGTTTTTGAAAATAGTCACTGTACTCCTTTCGTGGAATCACATTTAAAACTGTGGTAGATTCCCTTTGGATATCCTGGATGGTGTCGTGACAGTCTCCTTTCATCGCCAACTTAACTTTTGAGAACAACCAGAAATCTGCTGGAGCCAAATCTGGCAAATACAGATGATGATCAAGGACTGTGATCCCTTTTCTGACCAAAAAATCACGCACAATCTTTGATTTGTGGGGTGGGGAATTGTCATGGAGGAGCGACCAGGAACCTTGCTCTCGATATTCAGGTCAAATTCGAAGAATTCTCACCTACAAACGATTGAGGACTCCAAGGTAATAATGAGAATTCACAGTTTGGCCTTCTGGCAGAAATTCAGCATTCTTATTGCTAGTGGGGTGGAACTAAGTCCCTTGCACTGCGGCCACTTCTGGCCTATTGTACTGATAGGTGAAGGTGATTGTGGAGCAGTTAGTGGAATGAAGATTGGCAGGGGAAACCGAAGTACTCGGAGAAAACCTGCCCCAGTGCCACTTTGTCCACCACAAGTCCCACTTGACCAGACCTGGAATCGAACCCAGGCCACCACAGTGGGAAGCCAGCAACTAACCGCTTGAGCTGTGGTGCAGCCCTAAAAATTAAGTGCCAACAGCACTTGGTGCTGTTGTTCCCAAGCGGTCACCCATCCAAGTACTAACCACGCCAAATCAGTGTTTTCAACATGGTATGACTGTTGGCATACAGTTAGCATCGTCTTTGCTCGACTCTTTTGCATATACACTTTCTTTGGTGTCGTCTTTTTTGGGCTCAACCACACTGCACTCTTCCACTTTGTGAGAGGCTCATATTGAAAACATCATGTCTCATCACCAGTAACAATTGATTTTGTAAATTTTGTATCACTTTGGGCAGACTGCAGCGTGTCTTTGCGGTGTTCCACTCTGGCATGTTTTTCATTGCCTGACAGTGCGTGTGTTGTAAACCGCACACAGACCTTCCGTTTGCCCAAATCCTCGTTCAAAATTTGATGCACAGTACTTTTTAGTATTCTCAAAGCTCCTCGAGTCTTGCAGAAACATATCTGTCTGATGCAAGGATTTCAGTCAGTTTTTTCACATTTTCTTCAGTGCGACTTTGGAGGAACTTGCTATCTGCATCTTCAGGTTCCACCTACCAGACTACATGGACTCAAACAGGCAAAAGGATTTATATCAGGACCCTCTGCCAAAAGAACAAGGGACCTGTTAAAATTAAACAGAGATCAATTAAAATGGATGGTAGGCTTACTTACTGGACACTGCCACCTAAAAGGGCACCTTTTCAAAACGGGGCTGACAGATGACCCAACTTGTGAACGGTGCCTACGAAAAGATGTATCAGCCTCACACATCTTATGTGATTGTGAGGCTATAGCTTACCTAAGATATTGCCACCTGGGTCAATTCTTCATGGAACCAAGTGACTTTTATGATGCCCCACAAATAAAGTCCTACATTTCATTCGAAGTGTAGGATTAATAAAGGGTTAATCCAAAGGGGAAGCATAATACATCATTGAAGGTCGCAGTGTGAGGGCCAGTTTCTATGGCTCAACCCCCATACTCATACCAGACTACATGGTTTCACAACCCAGAAGAGCACAATTTGAACACTTACCGATTAAAAATTTGAAAACTGACATAAGCTTAGAACCATTTGTAATAGAGACTTGACCTTATTTACTGTTATCACAGAGCTACACCGCTGCATGGAATGCCTGCATCTTCACTCCATGGAGCGAGAGAAAACTGGTTTAGCAGTATGCCAGCTTCCTCGACATCTTCAACATCTTCAGAAGAGGAATAAGAAAGCATTTACTGTGGTGTATAGGTGGATCTGAGAGAGAAGGGATGAGATTGTTCATTTCTTACCGTGATGGTATCTCCATGCACAGCATGACTCATGGATTTGGTCCACCATTTTACACAAATTGGGGTTTTGTAAATGAACGAACCTTTTAAAAATTATAAGGTTGAATGTATTTATAGCTATTTAATATCAGGATTGGGGTACAGAGTTGGATATTTCGCTTCTTTCCTCTGATCCCTTTATATATTTTATGACATTAATTTTATGGGCCTATATTTTAGTAGAGTGTAGTATTGCAAATTGGTTTGCAATACACAATAGCACAATTGTAGGGATGACTACAATGGTTGTTCTTTTATACTTCCCATTTTCTCTCTGTTTCTCTTTGGCATTGTGAAATTCTTTCACAAATGTATTGCTGTCTCTCTCTCTCTCTCTATCATTGTCAGAACCCTTCTATGAAAGCAGAAAGTATGTTCAGTTGCCGTGTGCATATGGAGTTTAACCTCTGTATAGAAACCGTGGGTGTATAGTGTTCTGTACAGCATTTTAGTTAATGGCCATAGTAAAAGTTCATTATTAATGTATGACTCAACAGACTTTTGCTCATAATAATCTTGGAACACTGTTTGGTACTCAGATGTCTTTCCCTAAAAAAAAAAACTGTTTAACCGAGGAGCTCACCTCATCTGATCACCCTTTATTTTCTGAGAGTATGGATTTTAAATCTCTTGCTTCTCAGGCCTGCCACTCATATTTTAACTCTCTGGTAAAAGTATCTAGTCTCGAAAACCAAAGTTAACAGCCGTGGGGATTCGTTGCACTGACCACACGACACCCTCCATCTGCTAAAGTTGTCACTGACTTCGCTGACAAGCAGCGGTAGCTTGGTTGGTATACCTCGCTTGGAGACTAAAGCCACAGAGTTTGTTTTGTTTGGTAAAATATCAGAATTTGAAGAATTCACCGTGTCACTGGGAAAGGTTAATAATTTGTGGTAAAGTCTGTTATATGATTCAGTTATTAAGTGGAGTTAGCGAAAAAGAAATAACAGGAAACATATAGCAAGAAGTATGTTGATATTCTTATAATGTTATCCTAATGGTGCAGTTTTATTCTTCAGTGCTACTATATCTTCTAATCTCAATTGGTTTTTGTCATTCTTTGCATATAGGCATAAAATGAATCATATCTCTGTCCATACATTTTATTTTCCAAAACACTTCATGGATATGTAATGAATTTAGCAGCAGAAGAGTACTGTATTCTGGACATTAATGTCATGTGGTTTGATAGAAGTTCATGAACATTACAGAGGAGCATATCACTTCCATCTTCAGGGTTGAAGAGTAAGCCAGGCGAAAAATGCCTGCTTATGGGCGATTTCTTTTTTGACTTACTCTTTGACCATGAAGATGGAGGCAATATATTCCTCCATTCAGTGGGTTCGTATTGAGCTACATGTTGTTTCAAGCAAGTAGATCATACTGTTCATTGTTACTGCTGTCATAAGTCTCATCCAGTTTAACAAGGAAGTTTCTGCTGCATTTTAGAATGATGATTCTTTTTGTTCAATATTGGGTCCTTCATACCACATTTTTTTACATGAATATGACATTTATATTTATAAAATTTTTCAGAAAAAGCAAAATAACAAGTATCTCTCTTAAAGACCTGAATTCTTGCCTGAACTTTCTTTTCATGCATGTTTAGCCAAACACAATAAGTGAAGATGAGCAGAAGAGTGCATTCTGAAAATACATGTAATCTGAAGTGGAGTTCTTCTTGTAGTCTTTGCTTAGTGTTGCAAGGCTCTCACACTAGCTTGCATCAGCGTCAGTGTGTTTCTATCCTGGTGCAAATCTCAAGGTAATTGAATTATGTTGCAGTGGATTTTGTAACCTAGCAGCAATATGTATGTGTTAATAGTTGGTGTGTATTTAATTATTTATTTGAAGATACTGTTGGTAGCTCAGATTATATAGTGTCAAATGATAGGATGATCAACTGCCTCTGTGGTCTAGTGGTCAGAGTTCCTGGCTACAGATCCAAACATCGTGGGTTTAATTCCTGGCACTACCAGATTTTCTGAGAAGTAATGGGTCTGGAATGGGGTCCACTCAGCCTTGTGAGGATAATTGAGGAGTTATTTCAAGGAAATAGCGGCTCCGGTCTAGAAAACCGGAATTAACGGCCATGGGGATCCGTTGCGTTGACCATGTGACACTCTCTATCCGCAAGAGTTGGCACTAACTTCGCCGACAAGCGGCGGTAGCTCGGTCAGTATAGTTCGCTTGCAGGCTACAGGCCACGGGGCTTGATAGGATGATCAGTGAATAATGAATTAGAAAGAATGTGGAAGGAAGGAGTTGTGTCCCAATTTGTGTGATTTTTGAGGTGGGTTCATATACATTACTGTCGGTAGTTAGACTCTGTAGTGTCAGATTGTAGGATGGTAAACGAATGAGGAACTGAAGTGATTTGGAAGGAAGCACTCATGGCCTGATTGAGGTGCTGTCTCAGAATTTGCCTGGAGGGATTAATGAAAACCACAGAAAGCATTAGTCGGAATAGCCAGCACCTCAGCTAAGATTTGATTGAAAAGTTCCCAGACTAGGTCAAAAAAGAAATGCTGGCCTAACTTACTCAAATTTCACTGCCATCTCCTTCAGAGTAGTCTCCTTGGGACTGTATACAGTGATCCAGTCATTTTCTCCATGCTTCAGAAGCACCGTGGAAATCATTTTCCTTGATGCTACTGAGTACTGCTTGCAATTGCCTTTGGAAGTCAGACACTGTTTCAAATCTTTGTCCCTTCAATTTAATTTTCAATTTGGAAAACAGAGCAAAATCACAAGGGGCTAAGTCTGGCGAGTAGGGAGTATGGAGAACGATAACCATTTTGTTGTTAGTCACAACCTCCGTGGTTTTCAGGGACGTGTGGGCGGGCACATTGTCATGATGAAGGGGCCAGTTGTGGTTGTGCCAGTGTTTTGGTCTTTTTTTGTTGCACATTTTCTCTCAAGTGTCTCAAAGCATCACAGTACTATTGGTGATTGTGTGCTGTTCCACTGCAATGATTGTTGCTTTGTTTATCGACCATAACTGTAAATCCAACTTTTGCCACCCATTATGATCCTAGAGTTTACATTTTTATCATGAGGTGCGTAATTAAGCACAGTGACAACTTTATATCATCTGCAGTTGTAAGTCAGGTTTGCAAGGGTGCTGGCACATGGGTAAGCATTGTTTTGAGCTTGATCAGACTGTCTGTGAAAGATGTGAACTGTGTTTTCACCATGGTGGTTGCCAGTCTGAACGGTTTTAAAGATAGTATGCGGTAGTGTGGAGGTATTGCTGTTTTTGCATCACCGAGTGGATAAAAATACTAAAAACAATGTTTGTACACATTTCTGTTTTCATGTTTCTGGACTTAATAACTGTATTCATGCATTTGAGCTATGGTCATGTTTTTAGAATGGGCAGTAATAATTTACTGGGAAAAGGTGACATATACAGAGGGAGTGAGAGCGAGGGAGACAAGAGTAGAAGGGGCTTCACTACATTTCACTACTGGGAAGTTGTAATTTTATGTGTGATGGAGTTATGTCCTGTGATCAACTGATATGCATCATTGCCACGTCATGGTGTTCATCATTCTTAAATGGTCAAAAGAGATTTCACACGACCATTCTCTGAGCTCAACGATATTGGTGCGGAACCATGATGGTGCAAATGTTCTACACTGCCACGTCTCCAGATCTTAGGATGCTACAGTTATTAATGTAATAATATGATTGTTGTTTTCTTTCCCCATACTCGTACTGACTCTTCAGGTTCATTGTGGAACATGTTAACTTATGTCATAATCTGAACATATATCAAAATGAACATTCAGTGTACAAGTCCTTGCATTTATTGTTGTCACTTCTGCGAACTTGTATGTATTTCTGGGCAGTTGTAGTTTTTGTAATTCTAAGGTGTGTGTTTAGCAGAAGCTTTATTATGTTGTATATTTTAATTCTTGAAAGTTGTGTATTAAATGACAAGGGTTTGAAAAATACAGTCATGTGCTTGCTTGAGCGAAGTTGATTTTGCCAGCTGGTAGGTAGCAATCCATAGTACAAAGTCATTTAGGCATAAGTATTAGAGTTTTACTTTAATTTTTTTCATTCTTTTTGAAAATGATGTTAATATGTCAGCAACACTTTCGGAGTGTTCTTCCTTATGTTAACTATAGGTTGGTAAATAATAGAAAATGAAAATAATTTAAATGAGCAGTTTACAGTACTTTAAAAAATAAATTATTTTTAAGTACTGAAGTTGTCCCTGTTTCCTGCCTTTTGTGGAGACCTGATTTTTCACAGACATCCAGAAGAATAAGTAAGTGTAAACATACTTAAAAATACTTCAACATTTCCACTCCTAAAATTCGTTCTATATTAATAGACGTGTGGGGGCACGCAGTAGCATAGTTGGTTGAGGCACTATGCTACAAGCTGGAAGGTCATGGGTTAGAGTCCCAATGAGGTGGATTTTTTCAATTGACCCAATCTTTCCAGCCACACTATGGCCCTCGGGTCAACTCAGCCTCTAACAGAAATGAGTACCAGGAATCTTGCTTGGGTGCAAAGGGTGACTGACGTGTAAGGCTGACAACCTTACCTCTATCTGTGAGCCAATTGTCTTTAGTATATGTGGGAGCCTCTAATTCTCACAACCCTATGGGCCTTCATGGCCTTTTTACAGGGATAGCTTAACTTTTATTAATAGACGTGTTTTAAAATAATTTGGCAGTAAAACGGTTAAACTCTTATACCTACTTTACATACAAGATAATTTATAAAGACTATGGATTGACACATGAGTGTTGAGTGTGACAAGTGGAACTTGACAGAATTTTTCAAGTCCTGTTAATTATGAGGACCAGTAGTATGAATTGTGATACATAACTGGAGAGTTTGGCTCTGATACTTTCTGATCTTTCACCTTTCATGGCCTATTTTGGTGTGTTTTGATAGAGTAATTACTAATTGACTGTATATAAATACCGGGGCTCATAGTTTGATAATTAATAGAAATTGCCCCAATGATTGTACATAGAATAGGTGTAATATTACATTTTATTGTCTATTTTATGACCTATGAGACAGAATATTCCCTATGCAAGCTCAACTACTTGTTGTAAGCTTTGTAAGTAATATATTAATAGGAGACCTTGGTTGTATATTTTACAAGTAAAATATTGGTTTAAGAAGGTTTGTAATGGGTGTAATACACTTAATAATCTGTATAATTATATTCCTGAACTGAGAAAGAAATGTCAGTTGATGGATTAAATGTTAAATTTTGAAATTTTGACTGGAACAGTTATGTTCTTTCTTGTTTTCAGTCAGATGTATTACAGATGGATTGCTTGTGTTATCTCTCAAAACCATCTTTGATTTAAACTATTGATTACATTCCGCCTTCATAAAATATGCCAGTTCTGTTTTCAGACTAATTTTCAGTTGGAGATAATTTTCATGTTCATACCGAAGCAAATTGTAGAATGTTTCTAAATTATTGTTAATTTTGTATTGTGAGCCTCAACTTAGTCTCATATTAATTAATAATACTCTAGTCATTTTTATGAGGCAGACATTTTGGTTTAAAGAGACAAAAGATTATTAACATTTATTAAGTCTATGCTGGCAGTATTGAATTGTCAGAAGTTAATAACAGGCACTTAGTCAATTTTTCCTGACATGGAATCTTATGGGTAGGGATTGAGTTTATAGTTTCTTTGATGA